ACATCTATTGCCAATCCTCCTCCTTTGTTTTCCCCCAAAGCCCCAGTAGATAGTTGTACGTCATAGCTGCACATCCTTCTAGTTGCTGTATGTGGGATGCGGCCTCAGCACGGCCAGAGAAGCGATGTGTCAGTGAGCGCCTGGGACCCGAACCTGGGCCGCCAGCAGTGGAGTGCGCGCACTTAATTGCTAAGCCACGGGGCCGGCCCTGACTAAGTGATTCTTAAATCACCTTTTACTACTAAACCTATAGATTTTCAGACATACACATGCTCGAAGCTCACTAAAAATAGTTTCCTGAAACATAATAGAAATGAAAAAAGTCCTCTCCCATCTTGAGGGTCCTTTGTAACCTTCTAGTATATTCTATGCATATTTCATAGCCTATAAACTTAAGAATCTGAGAGTTTATAAATTTAATTGTAAAAATTAGAGGTAGACATAGTTCTTATATTAAAATCACTTTTACCAAATGGTAGTTTTAATCCTTACAAAGTCTAAGGTAAATTCTGTTTGGTTTTTAATCTTTTAATCAAGAAAACTATCTAAAAGGCACTATATTATTAGCACAACGATTATGACTATCATCAGTGAAAAGAATGAGTGAGTTGCTGAAGTGCTACTCTACTTATAATACACTCAACACAGGTTTCTTATAAAAACTGTCCAGAAATTGTTTGGAAACATAATTTATCTATCCATTATGAAGTAGAAAGACCAGAGAACAAATTGTGGTCTGACTTGGTTCTCAATTCATCACAAACACACACATACTCTTACTGAGCACTTACGTGCTGGGCCCTGTATATCCAAAGACAAATAAAAGACAATTGGAGGGGCTAGAAAGATTTGTTCAATCCATACTTAAGTTAGGTCTTCAAAGGCTTTTATTTTTTTTTTATTTTTTAAAGATTTTATTTATTTATTTTTTTCCCCCCAAAGCCCCAGTAGATAGTTGTATGTAACAGCTGCACATCCTTCTAGTTGCTGTATGTGGGACGTGGCCTCAGCATAGCTGGAGAAGTGGTGTGTTGGTGCGCGCCCGGGATCTGAACCTGGGCCGCCAGCAGCGGAGCGCGAGCACTTAACCGCTAAGCCACGGGGCCGGCCCATCTTCAAAGGCTTTTAGAAAAGGTCAGTTTTAGAGTGAGACTAGAAGAGATACTTTTCAATTAATAGGAAAACCAAATTGCTGATTAGTAGTATCATTTACAGAAATAAACAAAACAATGCTTTTCTGTCTAAGGGCTCTTTGAGAAGACCTAACAATTACTGCCGAACTTCAGCTGAGTCTCCGTGAAGTACCTGAGGGGCTGGACAATAGGCTCCCATTCCCCCCGTGTTGGGGCCATGATCTCCCTCCAGCAATCTCTTATGGTCCTGTGCTGGCGGCATGGGGGCCACAGTCCTTCCATCAGTGAAGCACAGACACTGTAGAGAAAACAAAACAGTCCACCTACCTTAAATGCCAAAAAGTAAAAAATTAATTTAATAAGGAGAACTATAGGTACCTTAACTCTTCTTAGAGGAAAAGTTTTCTTTTTTTAAAGTAAAATGAGTTGAAACAAATAACCCTAAGCTACCGACATCAAGAATCAGAAGATCTTGCATACTCAGTTTCTGAAGGGTCTGTAATTTTTGAGCTAGGTTAGGAAAAAATCAAGCTACTCTTAAAGTAAAATATTTCAATCTCTTTCCCCTCTTTTCTTTTTTTTGAGGAAGACTGGCCCTATGCTAACCTCTGTTGCCAGTCTTCCTCTTTTTTTCTCCCCAAAGCCCCAGTATGTAGTTGTGTATCATAGTTGGAGAGCTGTAGCTCTTCTATGTGGGACGTTGCCTCAGCAAGGCTTTGGTCCTTGCTGTGAGAAGGTCCGTGCCCAGGATCCGAACCAGCGAATCCCCTGCACCGCCGAAGTGGAACACACGAACTTAACTGCTATGCCACCAGGCTGGCCCCTAACCTTTCCCCTCGTTAAATAATGTGTGATATAAGTCCAAGTCCCCTACTGATATACTGGGGATGATTAAAAGAGGATAAACTATTTTTTTATTTGCATCCCAAATACTAAACGTATACAAATTCCTTTGTAACTGCTGGGTTTATGCTTTTAGAGGAAGCAACCAGAGTAAATCAAGTCTTTTTGGGACTCATAGGTCAGATAACACAGCTTCTTGTACTCTATAAAAGCCAAAACGATGAATATACGTACAGACACCTCTTCTCCTTCAAGAAGTTCTTCAACGACAATTGTTTCTCCAGCTGCTCCAAAAGCTTTATCCTTATTGTAGATTAAAAAAAAAAAAAGAGGTAAATTGTAAGCTTTTAATATCTACTTAATTGGCTGTTGTCAATTTCTACCATTTGTATTTTGAACCATGGCACTAGTATTGTAACTTCCCTTTCCTGTTCTGAAAGCCTCAAAGCGACATATAAATGTTTCCTATTTTTAAAGTGGCAATGATGTAGAGCTAACATTGGCACAGATGAAATGAACACATCACTAACGTTCTCCTGGGGAGCCGGCAATCCAGATTCAAATAAGGTAACAGAAAAACAGATGTTTTCATCATTACCATTTAATTCTTATTTCTGATTATAATTATATATGTTTGCCTACAATAATTATACTAAAGAATGTCTATGAAAGTAGATTTCTACAAGGGCGGGAACCCACAACAACCAAGATGGATCATAAAAGAAAAGCAAAGTATATTAATTCATTGTTTCACTATTCTTAGACCTGGGACACACAGGACAAATACTTTTGTCCTCATGGATGGTTGAGAATTTATTCATGTGTTCTATAGTCTGAGGATTTTCTACCTTTCAGTAGCAGACAACAAACGATGCTAGAACTTACTTCCAAAGAATAGAATCATGGTTTAGCCATCAGTGCGGATCTGTAACAACCCTTTTATAGAATGGATTATAATACATCGTATTATAAAAAATAACTTACCCGTGTGTTTGGTAGATATGTTTTCCTTATCTTGAGGAACATTTTGTAAACTCAAGAGTATCTAGTGTGACTAGAAAATTGTAAACTTATTCAGAGGACTCCACCTACCTGCATGATCTCCAGGACAGCTCTGCAGGCCTCTTCTTTGTTCTCTGCAACAATCACTCCTTTCCCAGCGGCAAGCCCACTGGCCTTCACAACCAAAGCAGGGAAGTCTGCCCTGTGAAGACAGAGGAATCTTCAACATCCAATAAACCCTTGTAATTCAAAAGTTTAAAATGCTTTGGGATTTTGTAATGATATGTTATAGCAACAACTGAAAAGCAGAAAGAAAAAAATTACTGATCATACCACCTTCATTGTGATGTGCTTCCTGCCAGGATTTTTTCCCTATGTATTGCTTTATAGTTGTGATCATGTGGTACATACCATTTTGCATTCTTCATTCATGAGATCAGATAGGCAAAATCTTTGGAAGAATAAAGCAGGTGTATAGCACGAATACGCAATGATCTTTGAGAAACAAAGCAATGAATCGTACTCTCATTCAAGTAGAAGACGTGGCTGTATAAGACCAATATAAGCAAGGATACACAGACCATTTCTTGAAGTACACATAAGAAACTGCTGTTGGTAGTTTCTTCTGTTGACTGGGACTGGAAATCTGGAAGGAGACTTACCCAAAGTAAGTAACAAAATTGTTAGTTACCCAAGGCATTTCGCTACTAGGAAATAATAATATTTAGTGTCTAAAAACTCTGTAGGATGAAGAATGAATAAAGAACGAAATTGACTCAACTAAAAGGAAAACATACCAGGTAACAGGGAGAAGTGTCAACAAAAACAGGCAAAGGCACGTGTCTACCAATATTCATTAACTGCTCAATGTTTTCCACATAATAGAGGACAAAGGATGTTTATTTTTAGGACTTAGAATTGAGGGCCGGCCCTGTGGCTTAGCAGTTAAGTGCTCTCGCTCCGCTGCTGGCAGCCCGGGTTCGGATCCCGGGCTCGCACCAACGCACCGCTTCTCCGGCTATGCTGAGGCCACGTCCCACATACAGCAACTAGAAGGATGTGCAACTATGACATACAACTATCTACTGGGGCTTTGGGGAAAAAAAAGGAGGAGGATTGGCAATAGATCTTAGCTCAGAGCCGGTCTTCCTCAGCAAAAAGAGGAGGATTAGCATGGATGTTAGCTCACGGCTGATCTTCCTCACAAAAATAAAAAAAAAAGACTTAGAATTGAGTAGTGGTGCCCAAAGGCTCAGTGATGATTCTTTACTCTGGTTAATTATTTATGAAAAAAATCAATATCCTTTATGTTGTAGGATGTCACTGTGTCTGTCAATTTGGCTGTGAAAAGAGCACATGACTGCAGAACCAAATGTATCTTTTCCCCTAGAAACTATTCACTAATAAATATTAAAAAATTCATCTTTCTGCAAGGCCACAAGATTGTAGAACTATATATACAGAGAACTGATATTGGAAAAAGGCAATCTACATAGTATGAGTTTTTTCCCATAGTTATATTATAAACTCACGACATAAAAGTGACCTATATATTTAAATATCATAATAAAACATCTGCTCTTCACAGGTGGTCTTCTATCTACCTCATAATAAAGCTGCAGGCCTCTTCAGGTTTGGTGAAAGCTTTCCATTGTGCAGTTGGGATTCCATGTCGATCCATAAACTCTTTGGCAAACCTTTTGCTGGACTCCAACTGAGCTGCTTCTGCTGTGGGGCCAAAGCATCGCACTCCCGCAGACATCAGGTCCCCAACAATTCCTATTGATGGAAACAAGCAGCCTTAGGTTAGCCAAGATCTCTGCAGGGGCTTTTTATACTGGAAGAAGAATTAGGATTAGACTAAAACTACACTGAGATAAGGCAGATGACTAGTGGTAGAGAATAAGCTTTTCATGTTGTCTATAGGATATACACAAAAACGCTACTAAAATGTGATTTAAATCTAGCAAAAGTTATTTGTTATATTCATATATGTGGATTATTAAATAGACGCCAGAATAGAGCAGAATAAAAACATAAAATGCTTTCCATGCCTGCAAATTTGATCTCTCATTCATCTCATTACTGATGCTTGGGAAACAAGTCTAGAATCCATAAATTTCAAGAGGGTGAAAGCTCTTTTTCCAATGTAATATTATATTAGACTTCCATATCTATAAAATGAATTAGATTAGATGATCTCTAAGCTCTTGTTGGCACTGCATATACTCTAACAATAAACAGAAATGAACTTTACCGGCAGCCAGGGGTGCCTCTGGTCCAACAACTACGAATTCAATTTCCTCATCTTTGCAGAACTGAGCAAGGGCAGTGTGATCACTGATGGAGATGGCTGCGAACAGAAAAAAGAAACAAACCTAGCTCACTTACAAAAACATTTTTTAACTTAACTGTCATGCTGAAAGCTAAGCACTATACTTTGGTATGCCTGTTAACTCTTGGTTTTCTGTAATTGGTAGAGGTGATAGTTTCACCATGAGAAATTCAGAGCAGAGTGCATTAGGCTAACCAACAAAGCTCAGCTGTCTGCTATCACTGCAGCCAGTTGGATGAAAATACAAGCAAGCATCCCAAAGAGCTATAAAGTACTTTCTCGACTATGGTGTTCATGTCACTAGTGTTGACTGCATAGTAAACAAAAAATCTATCACAGAATGTAGTCAGAAACTGGTTTTTTAATGTCACTCATTCAAGACTTACCGAGAAACACTATGTGCTAGATACTGTCCTAGGCACTGGGGTTAAGATGTTAACACAGACAGGTCCCTACACTTAGGATGCTTATATTCCACCATGGGAATGTTGGGTAATAAATATACAAGCAAAAAAATACCAAGTGTGAACAAATTAGGCAAACTGGATATGAGGTGAACTGGGAGGCTATTTCTGGTCAGGAAGGGTCTCTTCACGCAGAGACGTTTAAGCTAAGAATGGAATGATGATTTTTAAGACCTAGCTCACTTCTCCAACCTACAAGCCAGGTAAATTTTCTTTCTTGATGAAGTTCTAAGCGACTAACAGTAGGATCAGCCATATCCTAAGCAGAGGTTGGTTCTATAGGTGCTCTCCTGCCTCACTGTATCTGGACCGCCATTCCTAAGTTGGCTGAAGTCTCACATATTACCCTACATACGACATGTTACTCTGCACACATGTGATATTTGTGATGTGCAGGGGATAAGCCTAGGAAGGGTAGAGTTCTCAATCTACAGGAACTGCCTGAGTGGGATAAGGATGGAGTACCATGCACTCTGGGTTAGTAGCTGCAAACACAACTGGGCTGAGCAGAGCCAACTACCTCAGCACAGCAGAGGGTGGCAAGAGGAAGAGGACACACCTAACCTCTGTCGATGTAAGTGGTAGCAGTTTCATGACAATCTTGGGAGATTTTCATGGGCTGGCCTGCATGACATCAATTAAATCCAGATAAAAATGTGCCAGTTCTTCAATAAACAGATACAATACATCACCCCCAGAGCTAAGATCCCAGGGAAGCATATATTTTCTTATCTATCTTTTTCTTATTACTTTTGGTCCTGTGTACACAATTATCTTCTCCCAGTTTGTGGCTTGTTAGGTCTACGTTCTTCTCCCCACAAATATTATGTGCCATGTAGGGTACTAGGCATCATGCATACAATGCAAAACAAGACAGTGAGTCCTTTGCCCTCATGTAGCTTACATTCTAGATCTTACGTTCTAGGGGGGCAAGGAAGATAGGCAATAGACAACAGAAAAGTAAAAATAAATACAGACAACGGTTCATGACTGAAAACTGGATTTGCTTTACTTAGAAACTTTACGAAAGACCTCTTTGAGGAGGTAATGTATAAGTTGAAACCTGAATGATGAGAAGCCAGTCATGCTAGGGGTGGGAACAAATACAAAGTCCTAGGCAGCTGTGTTTGGGAAATTGGCAGGACCGCATGTGGTAGAGCACAGTGGAAAGAAAATGAAGAATTATATAAAAGATCTGGCTGGAAAGGCAAGTGGAAGCCAGATCACAAAGGGCTTTGTAAGGCATATTAAGGAGTTTGAGTTTTATTCTAAGTACTATGGGAAGCCACTGAAGAGTTTAATGTAGCATATGATCTGATCATTTTTTCATTTTTACCAGTGGAAGACATAAGGGTTGAGATCTATTATGGAATTAGAATTGCCAGAACTTACATTTAATAGTACAGCTCAACTTCTCATTTCCAAAAATACACATCAAAATGCCTTTTACCTCTATTAGACACTTGTGACTTTTCCAATGGATGTGTTTTATAAGGTTTAAACTAATTTAAGGTAAGGAGATGCCACACTCTGAACAACAGGATATCTAAAATTTACAACATATGCCAAGTATTCAAATTACCACACAAATTTTAAGGTTAGGAAAAGTATTCAAATCAGAATAGCAAGTGACCTTATAAAGAACAGACGTAGGTGACAATTTATCATTTACAATTATTAACTATTACTCCCCACTTTAAAACATAATTACCAGTATTTGACATCTTTTCGGAGGAGGCAGTGCCTGCATTTCCTGGAGCAACCAGTACTTGTTTGACATGATTAGACTGAGCAAGTTTCCAGGCCAGCGTATGTTCCCTTCCTCCATTGCCAATTACAAGTACTCGAGCTGCCATTGCTGTCTGCAAAGCAGGAATTCAAAAGGAAAATGAAAGCTGCAGAAAGAAAAGCATAGTTGGTATTTCAGAATGCACATACTTCAGAAGTCACGATTTCTAAACATGATTTACGTAGTCATTTGTATTCATACAATGACATTTTATTCCAACAATTTATTTGTGAAAAATTAGGATTCATAATTTAAGAAATATGACTGTACTCATAATGATTAGGGAGGTATTTTAAAAATGAGGCAGACGGGCCTAGACAGCTAGGTTAAGGAATGCAACAGCGACTTAGCTCTTTACCCGTTAAAAAAAAAAATCTATGAATAATCACCCTTCCTTGGGCTTCTCCTTTAGAAGATTTAGTAATCATCAAGCCTCAGTTAAAAATGAATCTTGATGTTTTAAAAATAGACCCAAAACTTGAAATAACTTTTTTTGTGTGTGTGAGGAACATTGGCCCTGCGCTAACATCCATTGTCAATCTTCCTCTTTTTGCTTGAGGAGGATTGTCCCTGAGCTAACATCTGTGCCAATCTTCCTCTCTTTTGCATGTGGGATACTGCCACACCATGGCTTGATGAGCAGTGTGTAGCTCCATGCCTGGGATCCAAACCAGCGAACCCTGGGCCACCGAAGCTGAACGCGTGAACTTAACCACTATGCCACCGGGCTGGCCCCGAAATAACTGTTTTTAAACCTTGAGATCATATAGATAATAGACATTAAAGTTATCATAAATTGGAAGCAATATTAAGACTGGGGGCTACAAAGTCAGATAGTAAATATTTTCACCTTTGAGGGCCATAATCTCTGTAACTACTACTGAACTCTGTCACCGTAGCACAAAAGCAGCCACAGCCAATACATAAATGGATGCTAGGTCCAGTATACATAGGCAGTGGCCTGTAGGTCATAGTCTGCACTAAGCAATAGGAAGCTACCAGAGGTTTGTAAAGAATAAGCATGGCTGTGTTTCAAAAAAACTTTATTTATGGATACCGCAATTTGAATTTCATATAATTTTCATGTGTCAAAAACATCATTCTTCCTTTTATTTTTTTTCCAATCATTTAATGATATAAAAATTATCATTATTTGGTGGGCTGTACCAAAACAGGCGGCAGGAAGGATTTGGCACTAGGGCCGTAGTTTGCTGACCCCTGATTTAAGAAATTAGTGCAATAAGTTAGAAAATTGGTAGAAAAGTCAAAAATCAAATCTAAACACATCTCACTTTAGTTCTGGCATATGATTCTGAGCAGGATGGGTGCAATAGCGCTCTCTTTCAACTCAAGCGAGCAGTGTGACATTGACTAAGCTTTTACTATCTGTAATTCAATTTCTTCACATCTTAAAAGATGGAAGTAAGAGAACTTGCCTTATGAGGCTACTTAACTGAAATGACATTTATAAACAATTAGTGCAACTTCTGACACTCAGCAGCAGTAAACGCTAACTTGCTATATTTTATTTATTACTTTTACCTAAATTGATAGTACTTTACGGATAGAAAGAAGTTCTAACAGGAAAAAAAAAAAGCCAAAGTAATGAATAATTTGTCACATTAATTTACTAATTTTCAGAAAACATTTATGTAGAAGGCAAACTGATAACAGGAAAAAGAAGACTGAAATCAGTAACTTATGAGATGATAGGATTACCCATTTAAAGAAAAATCTAACCTGATAATATAAAAAACACTTTTTGAGCACTTACTTGTGCCAGATGCTATTCTAAACTGTTTTCATGAATTACCTCACTTAATCTTTGTAAGAATTCTATGAGGTAGATACTATTACCATCCCCACTTTACAGATAAAGCGAGGTCCAGTAAAATTGCTAGAGGTCACTAGAGCCAGTAAGGGGTGGAGCCTGGATTCCAACGGATGCAGTTTTGCTTTAGATACCCTAACGATTGAGACGGTGATCACTGAAAATTTGAGGAGAGAAAAAAACCCTGCTAAATTACCCTCAGAGGGGGACAAGCTATTTTAGTTTAATGGAAAACACAGACTTGGCACGTGTATTAAAATATCTGAAATAAACATACCTTTGAACCTGGAGAAAATATTACGTTCAGTTGGAATACGAGGGGCAGGGAAGGGAAACTGTCCTGGTTAGTAAAGTGGATCACTGAAATAGCATTAGGACTCAGCTGGAAGGAATCTACCTCAGGAGCGGGGAGCAGGCCTTGTTTTGGGCCAAGACTCTGCCCCTTAAGCTGGGATACTTTGAGGGACTTAATTAACCTTCTTAGGCCTCTGTCACCTAAATGGGTAACATAACGAGAATGAGAGATCCAGGCAAAGCCATTTCAAAAGATTTGGTGAATGATATAAAGCAGAAACCAATTCCAAAAGTCGACGAAATAATCTGCTGGAGGCAGTGGGTGCATAACGAGAAAATACGCAATTGAGGTTTACGACCTAAAAAAAGCCTAAAGACACAAAAAGGTCCCGACATCTTACAAAGCAGGGAAAGTGACAGAGCCAATGGAAACCTCAGTCCAAAGAAGTGAAAAGCACATGGTCACCCCCCACCACCCACGGCGTTTAAAAATAAGAAGACAATCCCCACAGCCGAACAGTTCCTACAGTTTCATTCGATGCCTGGTATTAAAGCCCCCAACCAAAGCATAAATGGACTTAAAAGCGGAGGGGGTTACGCACCGACACAAGGCCGTCTCCAGGTTGCACTCACCCGCCTCGCCTGCCCGCGCCGGATGTCGGCCGAGCGGATGCGGGCCCGCGCCTCCCCGCCCGCCCCGCGGGGCTTCTCCTCCCCATTGGTCGGCGCGGCCCCTGGTTCCCGCTGCGACGGGGTTAAGTGGGACTCCCTCCCGCGCCGGGCGCGCCCTGAGCCTACTCCAGAGCAAGGCTACCAGACCCTGGCGCGTTTCTCTTGTAACACTAGAGGATCAGGCCCACGTAGCGTGTCTGTTCCTTCTCGGGAGCCTCCTAAGCTCAGAGGAGGGGCAGCGCCAAAATGCTAACTCCACGCTTAGCTGCTTGTGTTGCTAACGAGGCAGAACTGACCAGGCAGCGCGTACAAGTCTCGTGACACGCCTGGCGCCTGACGGGACTAGAATGCACCAACCTCTGAATGCAGATCGCTCAGGACCTCCCGCCTATTGCTTAAAAAAGAAAAAAAGGAAATGAAGCCGATTATAGGATACCCTGCGAGAGAGATGGGGTGAAAGCGTGTTCTTCGTATTTGCACCACAGTGGGGGCGGGCGCTGATTAATGCTTTTCCGGATGCATCTCCCTGCTGAAACTCAACTTGGCGCCACCCGGGAATGTTGGGGGGCCCGTATCAAACACCATGTTGCCCTTCTTGCTCCCTTTCCTCTTGACATCTAATCTCGGGCGTTCGGTGGCTAAAATAAGCCTCTTAAGTCCCCCAAACACCGTTGGGGACTGACAGACTAAGCTCGCAGACTCCCTTCAACAGAGACTTCTCCTGTAATGGCGCCTGCGTCAGTCACTAACATGGCGGACACAGTCGTGCGCGGCGCAAACGTCAGCAGCTCTACCCCAGACGCTCAGAAACAGCGGAGGAGAGCGGGGCCGTCTTCACTGATTGGTTCAGCGGCGGAACGTGCCGGCCTGGGCGCTCTCCCAGGAGCCAATCAGGACGGCGAGAGACGGAATTGGCCTCTGCGCCTCCTCCCGAGGCATGCTGGGAGCCTGGAGGACTAGCGAGGAGGAGTTGAGAGAACGGAGCGGACGCCATGGCGACCAACATCGAGCAGATATTTAGGTCTTTCGTGGTCAGTAAATTCCGGGAAATTCAACAGGAACTTTCCAGGTAAACGTTTCCCAGACTCTTCTGCTCCCAAGGGACCGATAGGGCGCCGTGTAGCCTTCCATGGCACTTCTCTTTTGAGGCGCCGTCGTTCCTCGCCTCAGGCCCCGCTACAGCCCCGCCTGGGCCTGGGATCCATTTTCCGGGCCCTCCCCCCCCATCCGTTCGCTCCCTTCCCAGCCAGGAACTTCGCCCTTTCCCAGGGAACCCCAGACTCCCTCTTCTAGAACCGAGTTACGATGCTCGCCCTCCTCTCCGGTTTGGTCATCCCCTACCCTTTGGCTCCTCGGCGGCCTGGGTGTCCGCCGGGGACGGGCCTAGTTCCTGCCTCGGCTCCTCCTCCGCCGCCGCCGCCGCGTCCCCCTCCCGCTCCCCGCCTCCGCGGCTCTCGCCGGCCGGTGCCTCTGACCGGAAAGGGTCTCTAACGGCCGTTTCTTGGGTAATCTTAAATCCGCTTTATTATTGCAAGCTGCAGATCATTTGGGGATCGGGATCCTTTAATTAGATTATTTGGGCCCTAGTGTCCAGTGGCTTCCACCAGGCCGCGTTCTAATAGCTTAGCAATTTAAAACGGGTCAGATTCACGTTAGCTACTTTGGCGAAATATTCCAGGCGGGGATGGAAGGGTACTTGGAATTACTCGTGATTTCTGAATTTACCAAGTGGAAAGCGGGGTTTGTGTGTAGGTCTCTGTTTTTTTTTTTTTTGCTACCCCTGCCCCAAGTGACATATTTGAGCAGCACGTTTCTTTTGCCTTTACTGTTAGAATTTACGTAGTTTATCCTCGATTCCCCAAATTTGAACGGGAAGAGATTTCCGAAGAAATAGTTGTTTGCTCAGTAGGGAGAATAGCGTGGGTCATGTTGTCGTTCAGTGGTTGTCTTTTAGTATTTTTGCTTTGTATAACGTAGCTGTTTGTTCCGAGTTCAGATGTTTTTGCTAGTTGTCTTTTAAAAGTTGAGAGCAAGAGCAATACGTGGATTTGAAAATCAGCCGAAAACGCAATTGTAAATTACGCACTCAAATTAACATAGAGTTATTGGGGGCAATGATGTAGTATTGCTGGAATTATTATTCTTGCAGGATATATTGTTTTTTAACTGGAAGGTGTATCTCTTCACTCATTTCACTGCTTTAAAATTTTTTTTGTGCTAGTGATTTTAGGTTGATGAGAAAAGACCTGAGCTAAGGGAATATAATTTTCCTGAAAACTTTTTAATAGTTGCGTGCAATAAGTAGTTGTGTTTTTTTATTGTAATGTCTTGTTTTTATTCCTTTTAAGAATCAGTTTTTGTAATAGAAAATGAGTTTCACTGTAGAAAATTTAGAAAAAAGAGGAGAAAGAAAATAAAAATCCACCAATTAATTATATTGATGCTCTTTATGTCCTCTCGTTTTTTTCCTTTGCGTACAGTTGCACATACATGTTTTGAGAAATGTGATCGTGTTTTGTGTTGTTTTTTTTCACGTAATATACATATGGTGAACAAGTTTGTGTTCTATTACAGTCTTAGTAGTCTTTTGGGACTTTTTCATGGCTCTTTAGACTTCTATTGTAGGAACGTATTGATGGATAGGTGGTTTGAAATTTTCATCCCTTTTCAGCAATTGAGGTAAACATTCTGATAGCCTTAAGAGGATAACTTTCTCATAGACTGGCCTTTTTAGTGAGGTAATTATGTATGTGTAAGTGCTTAAGAAAAGTGTAAAATAAAGAGCTCTGGAAAGAAAATCTAAAAAGGATATTAAAGCAATTTATTACTAGAGGAATGCTCAGCTTCTTAAATAATAGGTAATATGTTACCAGTCTGAAAACAAATTTTTGATTATTTGCCGTTTCAGTGAGCTATATTTGCATTTTTTCCCACCTGTTTTTATATGTATCAGTTTGGGTAAGGAGATTTCCATTTAGATAGTTATCATATATAGATGGGGGTTAGGAATATGAGCTCTGGTTTTGAATACCAGTTTCACCTCTTAATAGATGTGACCTTCAGCTAGGTTTGTTGTCTTCTCTGTGCCTCGTTTTCCTCGTTTATAAAATGAGAGTAATAATGCTGATCTTAGAGTTTTGTTAGGATTAAATGAGTTATTAAAATGTACAATTGAGTGACACTAATAAATAGTCAATAAATGTTCATTGTTATTATATGATTCATTATATTAGAAAACCAACTGTTCCTTAATAACATTTAGTTGAATACTGAATTTTTTAATTTTTTGACTGTTCAGGCTTTTATCAGGTATTGGAAGCATAAGTTTTTGTTAGCTGTGTCTGTTTTGGTAGCTAAAATTTAAGTTAAATTGTTGAAGTTATTTTTCAAAACAATTTTGTAAATTTAAGCAAAAATAGTAAGAATGACTAGGTAAATGTCAAGATTGTTCTGGCTCTGTGAATTGAAAATATGTGAAGCCGTTCATTCCTTTACTGTTAGTATAAATGAATTGTCACTTGTTTTACATGAATTTTTTTTGAACACCAGGAATTTTTTTAATCCCAGGATTTTTGATAACTGGATAAAAATGTTTTTAAAGTTTATGGCATTTCAGTAACTTAAGTCTAAACCTGATCAGAGGCTGCAAGTTACCCTTTTTACTTAATGTGTTTGTGGCTAACTTTGTGTTCCTTGATACTGATTATGATCCGTGCACAGGTGTGGCTTTATCGTGGCTATAGCTTCTCCCATAATGTTAGGTCATATATTTTTCTTTGGATTTGAGATGGCAATCTTAATTTTCCTTCCCTGAGATAAATATGCAGGTAACCTAAATCTAAATCAATTTAGGTTTCTGGGAGAATTTTATTAAAAAAAAAAAAAAAAAAAGATGAGCTTATAAATTTGTTCAGAGACTTTTTCTTAACTTTCACAGTTCTGAAAACTGTAATTGTGTAAAAGTGAAAATGTACCAACTATAAATAGATAGTGTTAAGGAATCACTATTGGCAGGGAATATCATCTGAAAGAAATACAAAAATAGTGAAATGTGTGAACAATATAAGATTATTTTACTTATTTGAGTTACAAATCTAAAATTATTATATGATATAGTAAAAATATTAATGAATTTTGGTAACTTTTCTTGTCAAGTGGAAGGAGTGAAGGCCAGCTCAACGGTGAAACAAATACACCTGTTGAAGGAAACCAGGCAGGTGATGCAGCTGCGTCTGCCAGGAGCCTACCAAATGAAGAAATAGTGCAGAAGATAGAGGAAGTACTTTCTGGAGTCTTAGATACAGAACTACGATATAAACCAGGTAAGTTGGAGATAATTAGCTGTCTCAAAAATTTTGTTCTAAGAGTTTTTAAGAATTAACAGTATTATTTCTTGACTGCAGAGAACATTTAAAATGTTCATTAGATCCAAAACTTCAAAAATTTCTAAGTTTTAGTTTAATTGATTTACCTTCTTTGAAAATACAGTTGTACTGAAACATGAGCATTGATGCACTTGTTTGCTTTGCTGGTGCAATATAACTTTATCTGATTCAGTCTTGTAGCGCCTCAATGCCAAGATTTTGAATGTAGGTTTTCATTGAACAGTTGTGTAAATGTCAGTTTTGGGAGATACGGGAGTCTGGACCAAATCTGTAATGATTTTAAAACCCTGGGAGGTTTTATTTTAAAGCCCTAGCTTAGAGATTGCCTTGTTTTTGCATCCATCCCTCTTAAAAGTACAATGAATGGAGAGGGATCATTGCTTGGATATTTAACGTTTTCGGAATTGATTAAATAATTGATGTTTGGAAATGAAAGATTTATGATTGATCACAAAGATAACAGTGTCTTCGTTTAGTTTTGCAAATGGGGGTGTGTGTTATGGTTTCTTATTTTTTTTTGTTTTTATTTTTGGTATAGAGTATGGTAAAAAAGTGTAGATTTTAGCTATACCTAGATGCATGGCTCTGGCAACTTTTTCCTGATTGAAATATAACTTAGCTAGTATTTGCTGCTTATTAAACAATTAACAGAAAATTGTTAGTTTGCTTTGGAATAGGTCTTGTCATGTGTTGATTCATTTTTTCCATGATCTTGATGGCATGGATTTCTGATCAGCTTTTTCTGTGACCACTAAGATTTATTAATTTGATGTTGGCATCAGCGTAAATCCCATCTGGTTGTAGAATGGAATTTATCCACTTTCTCTTTCAGATATGCAAATTGCAGTGTTGTTAAGTTACATGTTAAGGGCTGTAAGAATTTCCTTCCCAAATTACTGTATTATTTTCTAAGTAGATACGTTAAAGTTATGTTAGTAATTTTAGAAGAGTATTGGGGGAAAAGGTCTTATTTTTGTTAGAATGTAACATGGGTATGATAAGATAAAATTCAAGTTCAGACCTTTGTAAACTATATAAAAGCAGTCACTAGTGTTTCTTGAGGGCTTACTGTGTGCCAGGCATTGTTCAGTGTATTTTGTATGTTTTAGCTCACTTCGTCCTCTACTCTAGGAGACACAGAGTGTTAGTAATTTGGCCAAGTCCATTCATCTAGTGAGTGGTGGATTGATTCAGGATCCAAAAGCAAGACAGGCTGTTCCACAGCCAGTGCCATGTTGCTTCCTGTATAAATAGGGGTTATAAAATAGTCATAAAAATTATTTAACATGGGTATTTTTCAAAGAAATTCTAGCGGTAATGTGAAAGATACTCATCTATAAGTGTAGTTTAAAAGTAATTCACTATAATTTGAGAGCTGGAGAAAATACTCATTTTAAATGAATTTAATAAAACATATCTTAATGTAGTTTCAAAAGTTTTTGTGATCAACTAATAACTTATTTTTAACCCAGGCTGTAGTTGTGGAAAGAAATATAGGAAAAGTATCAATCTTCAGGTGATTGGTTTATGGAAAATAGTTTTTAACAAGAAATGTTATGCAATGGTGTTTTAATGTGGAATGTGAATCTTGGCTTATATGATTTATGTAAATGTACTTTGGGGAATGTTTGATAAATTGAAATTGATTTCCCTTAATTTCAGACTTGAAGGAGGCCTCCAGAAAAAGCAGATGTGTGTCTGTACAAACAGATCCTACTGATGAAATTCCCACCAAAAAGTCAAAGAAGCATAAAAAGCACAAAAATAAAAAGAAGAAAAAGAAGAAAGAAAAGGAAAAAAAGTATAAAAGACAGCCAGAAGAATCTGAATCAAAGCCGAAATCACATCATGATGGGAACATAGATTTAGAATCAGATTCCTTTTTGAAGTTTGATTCTGAACCTTCGGCTGTGGCACTGGAGCATCCTGTAAGAGTGTTTGGCCTATCTGAGACCATTGAATCTCCTGCAGTTGTGCTAGAACCTCCTATAGTATCAATGGAGGTATCAGAGCCACACACCTTAGAAACTCTGAAGCCAACCACAAAAACTGCAGAACTATCAGTTGCATCTACATCAGTAATCTCAGTGCAGTCAGAGCAGTCTGTGGCAGTAATGCTGGAACCATCCATGACAAAGATTGTGGATCCCTTTGCAACAGCACCAGTGCCTACTACAACAGTAGTGCTGAAGTCATCTGAGCCAGTTGTAACAATGTCAATGGAGTATCAGATGAAGTCTGTGCTGAAAACTTTGGAGAGCACACCTCCAGAGCCATCAAAGATCATGTCGTTAGAGCCTCCAGTAGCACAAGTGCTCGAGCCATCAGAAACCCTTGTGGTACCATCAGAGACACCTACTGAGGTACACCCAGAGCCAAGCACATCAACAACAATGGATTTTCCAGAGTCATCTGCAACTGAAGTGCTCAGATTGCCAGAGCAGCCTGTAGAAGTACCATCGGAGATTGCAGATTCATCCATGACAAGACCACAGGAGTTGCTGGAGCTGCCCAAGACCACAGCGTTGGAGCTGCCGGAGTCGTCGGTGGCCTCAGCGATGGAGTTGCCGGGGCCACCTGCGACCTCCATGCCGGAGTTGCAGGGGCCCCCTGTGACTCCAGTGCTGGAGTTACCTGGGCCCTCTGCTACCCCGGTGCCAGAGTTGCCAGGGCCCCTTTCTACCCCAGTGCCTGAGTTGCTAGGGCCCCCTGCGACAGCAGTGCCTGAGTTGCCGGGGCCCTCTGTGACATCAGTGCCACAGTTGTCGCAGGAATTGCCAGGGCTTCCAGCACCATCTGTGGGGTTGGAGCCACCACAGGAGGTACGAGAGCCACCTGTGATGGCACAGGAGTTGCCAGGGCTGCCTGCGGTGACAGCAGCAGTAGAGTTGCCAGGGCAGCCTGCGGTAACAGTAGCAATGGAGTTGACCGAACAACCTGTGACGACGACAGAGTTGGAGCAGCCTGTGGGGATGACAGCGATGGAACATCCTGGGCAGCCTGAGGTGACAACGGCAACAGGGTTGCTGGGGCAGCCTGAGGCAGCGATGGTGCTGGAGTTGCCAGGACAGCCAGTGGCAACGACAGCGCTGGAGTTGTCAGGGCAGCCTTCGGTGACTGGGGTGCCAGAGTTGCCAGGGCTGCCTTCGGCAACTAGGGCACTGGAGTTGTCGGGGCAGCCTGTGGCAACTGGGGCACTGGAGTTGCCTGGGCAGCTCATGGCAACTGGGGCACTGGAGTTCTCGGGGCAGTCTGGGGCAGCTGGAGCACTGGAGCTTTTGGGGCAGCCTCTGGCAACTGGGGTGCTGGAGTTGCCAGGGCAGCCTGGGGCGCCAGAGTTGCCTGGGCAGCCTGTGGCAACTGTGGCGCTAGAGATCTCTGTCCAGTCTGTGGTGACAACGGAGCTGTCAACGATGACCGTGTCGCAGTCCCTGGAGGTGCCCTCGACGACAGCGCTGGAATCCTATAATACGGTAGCACAGGAGCTGCCTACTACATTAGTGGGGGAGACTTCTGTAACAGTAGGAGTGGATCCTTTGATGGCCCAAGAATCCCATATGTTAGCTTCTAACACCATGGAGACCCATATGTTAGCCTCCAACACCATGGACTCCCAAATGCTAGCGTCTACTACCATGGACTCCCAAATGCTAGCGTCCACTACCATGGACTCCCAGATGTTAGCCTCTAGCACCATGGACTCCCAGATGTTAGCAACCAGCTCCATGGACTCCCAGATGTTAGCAACCAGCTCCATGGACTCCCAGATGTTAGCAACCAGCTCCATG